CTGCCACTCAAAGAGGTATTAAAGCCTTAACCCTACCACAAATAAGGTCTATTTGAGTGTTGATGTCTCTTCTTTTAAAGGTCCAGCAAGGGGGTAGCTTGAGTTCTTGGATATTGTTTTTTACCCTACTCCTGTGGATGTGCCCCCCACGTCACCTACCATCGAGAAACCCTCTGTTTATTTTACTCCACCCAAGTCTATTACCACTAAGAAGGCCTTTGTCCCTTTTGTCCCGCCTGCACCTCCTCCCACTCTTCATGTCTATACTCGGTGCACTCATTTTGTTACACCTACTCTAGAGCTCGCTAACTCTTGTTGGACCCTGAATCCCCTCTGGACGACATTCCAAACACTGCGCTGACTCCAAATGAGGAAGTCAGTTTCATTTGTAGGGTACGCAATCAGACAGACTCTCTCTATCACATGGCAAACTATTTCTCTCCTCACAGATTATCACAAACCTACAGAGCATTTGCTAGCCCTGACTAACCATCATCTTCCATTTATTATTGAAGTTGCCTTAGCAGACCAAGCCTGGAAAGTTGTCGTCATTAAGAAGATGAATGTTCTACAACGGAATCATACTTGGGACATTATTGATCTTTCTCAAGACAAGAAAGTTGTGGGATGCCGATGGCTTTTTAGCATCAAGTTTAAATCTGATGAATCATTTGACAGCAACAAAACACAGTTGGTTGTCAAATGGTACTCACAAAGAGTTGACTATGATGAGACATTTGATTCAGTCGCTAAATTAACACCATTCGGATCCTCTTATCTCTTGCAGTGGATCAAAATTGGTCTTATTCCAGCTTGATGTCAAGAATACATTCCTGAATGACGATCTTACAGAAGAGGTATATATGACACTCCTTCCAGGATTTGACTCCACTGCCTCACAAGGGCAGGTTTGTAAACTGTGAAAATCTATTTATGCATTGATGCAATCACCATGAGCATGGCTCGGGAATTTCATAAAGGTGATGGTAGACCATGGATTCACTCAGACGTAATCGGACCACACTCGCTTCTTCAGGTATTCCTCCAGCGGGCAAGTAGCAATCATTATTGTTAATTTTGATGATATGGTTCTCACATGTAATGATCTACCAGCATTGGAGACTGTGAAAGGCATTCTTAATGCGCTTCCTTTGAGATGAAGGACTTGATATCTCTCTGGTACATCTTCTGCATGGAAGTTGTTCGGTCATCTCAGAGTATTTGTCTATCACAGTGAAAATATGTGATTGACCTTTTGACAGAGAACAATCTTCTCATGTGAAAACTAGTGGTTGTTTCAATGGATCCAAATGAAAAGCTTATTGATGTTCCCAATGTTTTTCTTGTAAACAAGACTCACTATCAGCGCCTTGAAGGGAAAGTCATCTATTTTGTCCATGCACGCCCCGACATATGCCACACCGTGGGTATAGTAAGTGAATTCATGCATGATTCCTATAAGCACCACCTCCAAGCTGTCCATCGGATTCTCCACTACTTAAAAGGGATTAGGTTTATTTTTTTTCCTGCCACACCTCTCGTTCTATTGTAGTTTACAAAGACGGGGATTGGGTTAGTTCCATCCAAGATCAGCGATCTACCTCGGCGTACTGTTCATTTGTGTGGGGAAACCTGGTCACGTGGAAAAGTAAGAAACAATCTGCAGTTGTTCAGAGCGGTGAGGAAGTTGAATTTGGATCCATGTCCCTAAGAATTTATGAAGTTCTCTAGTTATGCATCATACTCCACGAACTACGTATGACTGTCTATGCTCCCCTATAGTTGTTTTGTAATAAAAAGGTTGTCATAAACATTGCTCGCAACCATGTCCAACATGATCAAACCAAGCATGTTAAGATTGACCGAGCGCAAGTCCGGGGAATTTGTGTTCCGTTTGTGTCATCTAGTGGTCAGGTGACAGATATTATCGCAAAGAATCTTCCTCTGTCACTGTTTATGAGTTCAAATCCAAGTTGAACATAACTGACATCTATGTTTCAACTTAAGGGAGAGTATTAGAATATTAGAATACTTGTTAATACAGAATTATGCATTAATTTTATTTTCTTTTCTTTATTCCTTTATTTGTTTTTATTTATTTCCTTATTAGTATATCTTATAATAGGTATGTATACCCCTCTTTGCATCATTATAAAATATCTTGGGATTGATTCTTTGTGGAAGGGTAGATAAGGGCATAAGGAGCTTCCTGAATTCCCATTCCCTCTCTCAATTCCTCCTTACTACGAGCAGTCGTGCTCGATACCTGTAGCAAGTCGCAAACATAACAGGAAACGCGACCCGCTAAGTGCCGCAAATGGCATTTCAGGGCTCCAGGACAAAATCGGTGTGTACATTGTGACATTCATTTCCTTGCACATTTGTTTTGATGTTTTTGTCACGAATAGGTGCACTTTTTTATTTTTGGTAACTGTAGCGGAGAATTTGTGTTGAAGACTATGGAATTGGTTTGTGGTCTTCCGTAAGGCCATTAGAGAGAAATCAAAGAAGAAAATAGAGCATTAAGATAATAGGAGGTAGAAGGTAGAAGAATAAGAAGTCTCGAAGAAATGTTGGTTATGCAGATAAGCCCATTTGAGATAAGAAGGTTATGTTTGGGGTTAAACCAAGAAATGAGCCAAGATTTTATGAAATCCTTATGTGTTTACTAATCTCATGTTGTCTAAACTAGGCGGCGAGCTGGATGCGAGCTTGAAGAAACTCATCGTAAGGTTGTTCCATCAATTCAGGTGAAATAATCTTTTGTTAACTTAAGAAAGATAATTCTCCATAGGTTTCCATGTGATTACGTGTTTGACATTATTGCATAATTTTCTACATATTTTGTATGAATAAATGCATAATTTTATGAATACAAACTTGTTGTCACTTATGATATCTATGATATTACTATGCTAAGAACTTGATGAACAGGCTAATGAAATCATTGCTTGTAGGCATTCATTTATTATGATTCATGCATATAATAAATATTTTTTACAAAAATTATATTTTAAAAAATATCACAAGTGATGTTATAAGTAAGCTATCACATGAATAGTTTTAAGTATGGATGATAGGGAATGATGGGATTCCCAACTCCTAATATTCAGACGGTGACAAAGCTCCGAGGATCGTTGGGATCAAACGGCCATGGAAAGTAATGAACAATTGGTACCAGAGGACTATTAATAACTGCTATGTAGGGAAGTTGTCTTTATCAATAGTTAATGCAGTTTTTGGGGTGTTTGACGACCCAATAACATGACATAACATAGAATAATTGAGGCCTATACAATTACAAGTGATATTCCTATAATTAGATCAATAACTCTTATGAATATACTTATAATTACACATGAATAGATGAAATATGTTTTATATAACAATCGTGATTTTCTGCATTACAAGTCCTTTTTTTCATGTTTTATACATTTATAGCATATTGTGTCATGTGTTGTAAACCAATATATGGATTACATACAAGCATACACGTTACTTTTTCATCTATAAAATTTTATTTGTCTTGATTATTTCACTGAGCTCATTGTTGCTCACTCTACATTGTTGACTTTCAATAAGAAGTAAGAGCATTAGAGCGAATAGCCAGGTATGACCTATACAGCTTTTTCATTTCATATTTTTGTAAGCTTGTACAGACTTTTGGATATGTATTTTATTTATGTTGGATTTAATAGCTCTGTAAAGACATATCTATTTTGATGATATAACTTTTACGCTTTTGATTATATGCATATGAATGAATTATGAAATAAAATGTATCAAGTATGTTAGCGATGATTCAGTTAGACTAATTCATCACTCACTTTTACGCTTCTGAGTATATGCATATGAATGATTTATGAAATTAAATGTATCAAGTAAGTTTACGTTATTTCAATTATGGTTCTAATTTTGCAAGTCAGAATGAGTGTTAGTGAGAATTTAGTCTAATCGAATGGTCTGTCACTATCGTGCCTTAGCCAACCCTTTTGGGGGGTGGTGCAGTTAGGGTGTCATTATTTAATGTCCTTATACATTTGAATAATTTATAGCTCACCAGAAATTATTGTAACTATTGTTTTGGGTCGAGGGAAGAGCACGGTTAAGCATGAGTGACAATCAATTTTGAATTTACAACTCCATGTTTAGTTGTTTAGTTTTGAAATAAGACATAAAGATATATTTAGGTAATGTATATGATAAAAATTAATTGTTATAAATATAAACCCTTATGCTTATTAGAAGCTCTAAGATGAATGCATAAAATAGTTTTGGATGCTTTTGTGCAATCGAATTGTGTTATTTATTGGATCTCTGTGAATTAAGAATTAATAAATATGATATGCTTGGTTCGTGCAGGTGATGGATTATATCACTCACTCTATTCCGCCAAGTAAGGATTAGAATGGGCATTATTGGTACATTCAAACAATTAATTTGTACCCACCACTGTGATATCTTAGGTTTGATTGGTATATAAGACTTACCTAAATAAACTAAAATGAAACCAAGGATTTACCTAGGCATATCCAAAGGTTTCTAGATGGTCATTTTTGAGTGTGACAAACAATAACAAATCAAAGCAGCAACCATCGGTTACTAATACCCTAAGGTGCAATATTTATTTATTGTTTAGGATTTAAAAATAAAAACTAGTTAATTGATAATCCAAAAATGTAGAATTATTTTCCAACTTTTATAAAACCCAACACCATGCCCGTAACGTACCATATTCGCTCTGAATAGAAAGCAGGAAAAAATATCATGTCTTTATTAGATAAAATGCATTAAAAACAAGTAGACCAATCTGCATCATCATTAGTGCCGCAAATGTGACCAATTCACTAGATAATCAAACTTCTGGTAAGACCATGATGGTCTTATTGATGACTTTATCTATTAACCTGTCCAACTCAGCATTTGAAGTCAATGTATGTAGGAAACAATCTCAAAATGTGAATAAAAACAAGTAAAATGCTGCAGAAATGTCTATTTACTTTCCACCAATCTACAGAACCAGAAAGTTTGGCATTCTGCGACTCTCTGAAACGTTCTTTAACAGCTCCAACAATGGAATCAATCATTTCTCTGCCAAAAGCACTAGCAATCTCTTCCAGTAACAAAGAACCTGAAACAATTTTACTACTTCCATCAAGAAAAAAAAAACCAACAAAGAGATGCGAACAAAATACAGATCATTAGAAAATAAATAATTCAAATAAGTATAAGATATAACCAGAAGTCTTTACTGTTATTAAGTTTGCCGAATTTTTCTTGGGGTATGCAAAGCATCAATCATATAAATTACTAGGAAGACCTCATTACTTCAATCCATCAATTAAGTATTACATTGAGGCTCCGACCAAAATTATGTTATTAAAAAAAATTACAATCCGCCATAAAGAAAAAAAATCTAAAATTTTTAAATTCCCTTACTAGACAGCAAAGCCTTCTCCATATGCACACCAACAAACCCCAAGAAATGTCTCATTTACTTAAATGAAACCAAGGAAATATAATGATTGAAATAAGGCATTGCCATCTAACAAAACAAAATTCATTTCATTCCAAATAAGCATCAAAATTAGAAAATATGGTAGAAATAAAACTAAAGTTGTATGTATGTGTCCGCCATGCGAGAAGGGGGGAGATGGAGATAAACAAGTAATTCCCAAACATCTTTTTATGAAAACGTATCAAAAATCAGGGTAGACATTCAAGACCTTTTCTAATATTGATAGGAAAAATCTATTTAATCTTATTTAGCCTGGGAAAACTACAAAACCTCTTGAAAATATAATTAATACACCTTGGCAAGCTGGCGTAAAAGGTCAAGATTTCAATAGTCAAGAGAATCATTTGTAGCAATGCATCATCGTCTAACGTAGTCAGCTGAACATTTATTTCTTTTTCATATCAACTAAAATTAAATGACATCTACCCATCAACCTAAACTCTATTCATTCTAAAAGCAAGTCACTTAAAACATAGCTTCTAACTTTGCATTCAGGGACTATTAAGATCAAAAGATGCAGCATATTACAAATTGTGCGGTCTTTTAAAAATGCACTTCCATTCAGAATAAAGCTATGTGATTTAGCATGCTTTTAAATTTCTGTTACTCACATGGCAAGCATAAATCTTCCCAGAAACTAAACAAAAACTGCAGAATTAGTTTCCGTTTAATTGCAGTACCAAATATGTTTGATAAGAAAAATTGCCAAGAAAATAATTTACTTGCTTGATTATACGAAATTGCAATTGCAAGAACTAAAAAAAAAGCAGCCACTTAATCATACAACAAAAAACTGGTAGCACATTTCCATGATCAATCTTTAAAGGAAAACCCCCATAAATGGAGGAAAATCTAAAATTAAATTAAAGATAAATGAGGTGAATATCGAGGTATTAGGATGATGGTAAGGTTAATAGAAATGCTTCCAAAAATTTGGAAAAATAACAATTTTAAATCAAATTTGATTTTTATGAAAAACAAGATGCCCGTTTTGTTTGGCTGATGTTCCCTTTTCATCTCGTTTGCCGCTTTCTCTCCCTCTTCAAACCATTCACCAAGGCTAGGTATAAGATACTTTATTAATCTAATTCTGCAGTCCTTTATGTAAACATTGAGCCCATATCTCAATAACACAACACCATCCCATGTATTATAACGGAATCCATTTCGAGTCTGTCTGGGATAGGTGCGAGAAGCAACGAACCGGGAATCTGTCTCAATAGTCTAGGATGGTTCAGGAAGCTCTCGCACCAAGGCTGGCCGGTCTTTTTGGACATTTTTTCCCTTACATAGCACTGGTATTATGTTAAATTGCCAAGGAATTATATATGTATTTATTTGTGGACTACTTTGAGGACTTTTGCTTTTTTGTTTATGTATTTGGTGATTTTTTTCTGCATGTTTTCTCCTATTTGGAGAGTTATAGCTCATTTTTCTTCAAATGATGAATCTACATACTGAAGAGAACAGGTCACAGATCCTCATCATTTGTACCTCGCCATTTGGTATAAGCAGTGTTATCAAAGTGCAAAGCACAATGTGATGTACAAGGCTTTATTTTTTGTTCAAAGCACAAAGCGCATTGAGAAAGAGCGCTTATAATAGCCAAAGCACTAATAAGTTGAATAAAATTATTAATGTATGAATGCAGTCATGAGCAAATGTAAAACATAAAATACGATTTAAAAATTTTTATATAAAAGAGAAAAAAATTGTTATATAATACTTAAGTTGAAGAATAGCATTAAGAATGAACCTGCAAATTAAAATTTCAAACAATTTCTAATAGTTTACTACAATAAATAAAAATTAAAAGATTGCCTACCAAATTATAGCTCAAAAAAATCAAAATTTTAAAGTACAAATAAACTAAAAAAAGGCTTACATTTCAAAAAATAAGCTAAAATAAATTAATAATCTTTATCATATCTTTCATTCACACGATCTCTTTCTCATTCAAATAAAATTTCTTCATCTTCAAATTTTTCTTCTTCTTCCTCTTCTTCTGAATAAATTTCAATGTTTCTTTCTAGCACAAAATAAGTGGGTGCATGTCGATGTGAACTCATCATCATTGAAGATAATCCCCTCCTTTTTTTTTGTTTGACTAAATCTTATAGGTCATCTTCGATCAACTTCTCCTTAAGCCTCTTCAATTTGTATCCAAGTAAGATCTTCATCACCAAATTGTGGCTCATCAACATCATCTGTTTCTCCAATCAACCACCCACAATGTTCAACAATTGAATTCAAACTAACCGGATCAATAATATGTCTTAAATTGAATCTTCTTTTTAAAGCTTGATTGTATTTGATGAAGGATGTGTTTGGGGTGGCAATGCAGTGGTCATGCGGTAACTCACTGTAGTCTTTTCAGTTTGTCACAACTATATTTGGCCTATATTTTAAAAAGCTGCAACTAGAAGCTCTGTTTTACAACCAGCTCTGACTAAATGTGGTGGCTGCTAGAAAGTTATGGTCTGACTTCTTTAAAAAAAAACTACAATAGCCACCGCAGCTTTTTGAACAGCAGTTTCTTCTGCAGCAACTTCATAATTGTTTTTCAAACAGCTGTAGTTACCCCAAACAGACCCGAAGATTAAATCATTTAAGTGTTTTTGCTCTAATCGATTTTTCTTGTTCATATAAATCTATAAAACAAAATAATTGAATGAATGCATAAAAGATGTTATTTAGTATGTTTAAAATTTACAAATTATTAATCTATTCGAAGACACTCTAATTTTCCCCACTAACTGTAACAATGGAAGTCAATCCTAATATTTTGGCAAACAAGTTTTGTAAAGTTTGAGTCGATACACCATAAATCACCAACTAAAATGTAATCAATTAAAAATCAGGGCATTTAAATAATACATGCATGTTTACAGACAAATCACCCATCTAATAACGAGTATTTATGTGCATACCACCCTCAATACACATAAGATGATAAGAAGTGAGTGGTATGTATGTAAATCTTCCTATTTAAAGAATTAATTTAGCTGATTAATTCACGATTTGATAACACACCAAATAAAATTTTTGTCATTAAACAAAAAAAAAATTCTAAGAACAGGGCATTTACATACATACCACTCTTTTCCGATGTCGAAGCCCTCGAGTCCTAACAAACGATCAAAGCGTCTGTTGCGGTTGAATCATCCTCTGCGGTCGAAGAGCCTGTCGTCTGTGTCTGCTACCACCAACGAAGTTTTTGCAGCCGCGGTCAAAGGATGAAACATCTACTCCCTGCATCTCCTACAGTTGAAGCATCTGCCACCTGCATCGAAGGCCGAAGGTACTCCTAACCAAATTTAGTCATGTGGCTTGGCCATTCAAACGTAAGACCAAAACATTAAGTTTTATTTCCCTTGCTCGTGAACCGGATAGAGTTGGCGCTTCAACCGCGCTTTGAAGTACGGTTCAAGTGCACTTCACACTTGAAGTGCACTTTCACGCGCAATTTAAACACACTGATTATCAGAGCCGCCAAACTATTGTTCGGACGTAAGAGTTGTCGTCCAACAGCAATTTTTTGTCGTGCCTCAACCGCCATCTTTGTTTTAACTATCGTTCCTCATCCTACAACCCTCCTAACACATCTCCTAAAGTTCCTACACCAACTAAAAACCCTAGAACAGTGTCATTCAAAGCTATTTAATGGGCAATGGAACAGCATCCGCATAGAGTCCAATACAATCCCTGATCCCCCCCCCAAATATTTTGTTGCACAACTTCCCTGCATGTGCTGACACGGGGCTTATGGTTGCAACAGTAAGGCAATACCGATCCAGCAAGGAGGCTAGACCGACCGGCACTATTGGGCAAGAAATCATGCCCTTCCTCCTATCTACCTATTATAAATATGTTGTAAGTTGAGTTGGGATTTAGTCTTTGTTTTTCTAATTTCATGTTTCTGACTCCAGGTGTTTTCCCTTACTATGATTGTACCTGAAGATTGGTGGTGCTCCAGTTATATCCTACTCTAAGGTGGTGATGGCCTCCACCTAATTCCTCCCCCAAGAAATCCCTCTCCTGGCCCTTTTTCTGCAGTCGACACCTGCCCTTCCTACTTCCAGTCATCGGTCATTTGCCATCTTCCTTACAATTCCAAGCAGTTGCCCCACCTGCTCACTCCTTGCCTCCCTGCATCCAGTCGCCAGCCACTCTATCATCTCCCTGCATCCCTGCCACTGACCAACCTACCACCTCCTACCGACCAACCTACCACCTCCTACCCTAACTCCAGCCACCGACCACCTAAGCCCCCTTCTCTTCTCCCTGTATCAACCAACCACCTAGTCTTCCCTATCACCACTCATCCACCACCATCTCTTCCCTGCCCAACCACCAACCACTAAGCCTTGCAACCGTTGTCCACGGATATTTGTACTCAGCCCTAGTTGGATATTGATGTTTTGATGTGTTTTTATTTTCGTTTTCGTTTGAGTCTTGATTGTAACTTTATGCCCTACAGAAAACAAACACAAAAATAGTGCTCGTTTATTCATTTTTTTGTATTTTTGTATTTATTTTGTTTTCAAAACACATAAGGTACGCTTTCAAAATATCGAAAACACAAAATTATGTTTGTGATGGTTCAAAAACAT